TGTTGGACCTCCTGATGCCCCCTGGGTTTTGGCCACTGTGTGACACAGAGTGTTGGACTGGATGGGCCACTGAGTCCCATCATCCATCATGGCTTCTTTTATGCCCTTATATTGCTGCTGTTATTCAGTTCTCTCTTCTCACAGTTGGTTCTTCAATCTTCTTGTATTCTCCTTCCGGAGGCTGGCTCAGGCTGTTGTTGGAATTCCAAGAGAAAACAGGTCTCTCTAACCTCAGTTGTTAACGGTAGTGGTGGCTCCAAAAGCCCTGTGGGAGAGCTCTGTTTTACAGGCCCTGTGGGACTGCAAAAGATCGTGCAGGGTCCTGATCTCCTCTGGGAGTTTGTTCCACCAGAGAGGAGCCGCCACGTACGGAAAACGTGCAGAGTTAAACCTGATAAGAACCTCACAGCACAAAGCAACCCTATCCACTCGGGTAGACAGGACAACTTATCACAGGCTCACAAACCCGGAAACAATCCCTTAAGCCCCGACAGAAATTAAGCCTGTCTACCCGGAATGAAGGAGCTGCGGTGGCTCAAGTGGTTAAGACGCTGAACTGCAGGCTGTGGAAGGTCAGTAGTTCAGCAGTTCGAGACCCGGGTTGCCGCATGACGGAGTGAGCTCCCGTCTCTAGTTCCAGCTCCTGCCAACCTAGCAGTTCGAAAGCAAGAAATTGCAAGTAGATAAATAGGTACCGCTTCGGTGGGAAGTGAACAGCGTTCCGTGCGCCTTGGTGTTTAGTCATGCCGGCCACATGACCACGGAATTGTCTTCGGACAGCGCTGGCTCTTAGGCTTTGAAACGGAGATGAGCACCGCAACCCTAGAGTCGGATTTGACTGGCTTTCGAGCAAGGGAACCTTTACCTTTACCCAGAATGAATGCAAATCTTCCCCATTTATGCCCACCTCTACCACCTCTCTTGGGTCAGATTTTACATGGTAATCATAGAATCATAGAATGTTAAGAGCTGGAATGGACTTTGCTGGTCATCCAGTCCGACCTCTTGCACTCTGCAGGAGCACAGCCGAAAGATAGCCCTACATACCTACAACATACCCAAAAGATGGTTGTCCAGCCTCTGCTTGAAAACGTCCAGCAAAGGAGCCTCTACCACCTCCCGAGGCAGACTGTTCCACCGCTCAGCCACTCTTACAGTTAGGAAGTTTCTCCTGATATTTAGCCAGTAACGACTCCCTTGTAATTTCCACCCATTAGATCTAGTCTTGCAATCCGGAGCAAGAGGGAATAGATCCGCTCCATCTTCTACAGGACAGCCCTTCAGATAATAGAAGACTGCAATATCCTGTCCCCTCTAAGCCTTCTCTTTCCCAGGCTAAACAGACCCGACTCTTTCAGCCTTTCCTCATAAGACTTGGACTCCAACCCTCTCCACCATCCTGGTTGCCCTCCTCTGGACACGCTCCTTTTTCTTATACTTTGTAAGGTGCCACACACCATGATGACGCAGCATACCGACAAACAGCAGTTAACCACCATTTGGTAGTGTATGGATAAAGGCCATTGATGTGCTCTGCATGCAACCGGTGATGTGCTCTGCATGCAAAAACAAATTCACGATGCAAAACCACACACTACCCCAGACCCGTATACGGCTTCAAAGAACAAAGAAAATTTATTAGTCCAAAGGGTGTTGCAGAAGGCATAAACCACTCAGAAACACAGAAAAATATCAATCAATTACAGGAGCTACAACAAAAAAATAAAACAATTCAACCTTTCTATTTCTAACTCAAACCTAAGAATTTTTAAGCCCTACTGCCTTCAGATATCTTCGAGTAGCGTTCTCCAATCATAATCTCACTCATCCAGCAAAACAAATAGTGTCTTCATGCGAAGAAAGCAGAGAAGGTAAAAGAAAAACAAACCATACATCAAGGAAACAGTCAGTCCTGCCTGTTATGAACCAGAACAGCCATGTTTACATTGTTTGACTTATGCATGGGTAAATTCAAGAGCTGTGGTTCCAGAAAAACTTATGCCTGAAGATTTGTTCGAAACACGCAGGTTATGCCCGGAAGGCGTGTTGCTAGGCCTGCTTGCTAGCTGAATCACCTCATGGGAAAATACATCTACTAGGCTTGCTTGCTAAGCTGAATCATCACAGTGAGAAATACAAGCTGCCTGCTAGCTTTACCTGATGGATCATCACTTGGGAAATGTACGATAGGTTGCTGCTTTGTTCGGTACAAATAACTGTACATTGGTATTTATCCTCCATCAGGAAGAAGACAGTTGGACTCTTCATGTTATATAACTTAGTTTGAAAGTGTTTGAAATGTGATGTTGCAGTTTGAAAGTGTTTACAATACACTAGAGTTGATGTTGTATAAAAAGCAAATATATTTAGCTATAAGTACATAATGTGAATATTGTGTTTATTATTTCAACACGGTGTTTTCTGTGTTTATCTAACACTTAAAGTTTGACAGAGGCTCCTACCAAAACCTTAGGCCCAAATTCCCAACTTCCTTACAGGTAAAATCCTCAAAGCCATTGTGGTGTAGTGATTAGGAGCAGCAGACTCTAATCTAGAGAACCGGGTTTGCTTCCCCACTCCACCTCCACGTGAAGCCAGCTGGGTGACCTTGGGCCAGTCACAGTTCTCTCAGAGCTCTCTCAGCCCCACCCACCTCACAAGGTGCCTGTTGTGAACTTTTGATGGATTTTTTAAAACAAGCAATAGTCAGACAGTCCACACAAACCGTTCAGAGTGTTCTGATCACCAGGAACCCGCACATTATGTTTTTCTAAGTATACACCTGAGAGCTACTGAGTGTTAAGAGTATAACGCACAAATGCTTTTAGAAACAAAAAGGTGCTTAAGATGCACATCTTTCAGGGATGGAACTACTGCTCCTAATGAAAAGACACTGAGAGGCAAATCCAAGACTGTAATGGCATAATATATGTGAAACCGCTCCATAAGAACATAAGTGGCCCATCCAGTCCAACACTCTGTCTGTCACACAGTGGCCAGAAATACCAGGGGCCATCAGGAGGTCCAGCAGTGGGGCCGGGACACTAGAAGCCCTTCCACTCTTCCCCCCCCCCCCAAGCACCAAGAATACAGAGCATCACTTGCCCCAGGCTGAGAGTTCCGTGTCCAAACACTCCTGCCCATTTCTAGAATTGCATGTAGTTCAAAAACAAATTCACGATGCAAAACTACTCACAATCATGCCTTATACTGAATCAGACCACCAGTCCATCAAAGTCACTACTGTCTACTCAGACTGACAGCAGCTCTCCAGGGTTTCTTCCCCATCACCTACTACCTGGCCCATTCAACTGGAGATGCCGGGGATTGAACCTGCAACCTTCTGCATGCCAAGCAGGTGCTCTTCCACTGAGCCATGCCCTTCCCCCCAAAATGTAATTAGTTAATCATCGTTTACTGATGAAGTTAGTCCCCATCCTCTTTAGAAGACATTCTCTAATGTTTGTAAACTGAAATGCTAGGCCAAATTCACCAGCAGTGTGTTTGAAAATCAATAGGGATCAAACGCAGGGCAAAATGTCAGCTGCTCCGATGGCTTTTTAATTTTTTGCTCAATCAGATTTCCCACTGCAGAAAACTCATTCTGGCTCCAAAAACTCTTTTCAGGGCAGGCTGAGAATGCAGCCAAGGGGGAAAAAAACATTTCCAGGCTAGAAATGGTTCCAGCTAGAAGGTTCTATTGGTTGCAGGTGTATCCAAAATGTTTCCTCCGAAGTTTGGTTGTTAGCAAATTGTATTCACCCAGCAGCGGAACCACAACTGTTTTATTTATTTCCATGGATTAGGTTTTGTATCTGCTCTACAAACTGCTAAATCACACTCCATAGTAAGATTTCAACCAAAACACTTCAGCTTTGCTGACGCCAACCTAACGTTTCATTACACCTGTTTAACATACAGACTGAGCAGAACTACCGACCTTCTCGATATTTATTTGATGCTTCCGTAGCCGCTCCAGATCCGTGGGAATTGCAACTTTAATAAACTTCTGGATAGCCGGCTCAAGACGACGCAGATTAAGTTTCTCCTCCTCTTCAGACATCTTCAAGCTTTCCAAGTCAGGGCAAGGCTAGCAATTCTGTTCGTACCTAAAATAACTGACAGAAATATTTAAGCTTTAACACAGTATTGAATGCACAGTACAAGCATGCTTGTTCAGGGGCTTTCGTGTAATTTTTCTGTGTCTGAAAGAGTCACTCAGGGCTACGGTGTTCGTTGTTTTTCCAAATCCTTGTCTCTGTCATATTTGCCAGTCAAAGAGAAGCACACATGCCTGGCAGTGAGGGTGAACAAGGGGAAAAGCTCTTGTATCACACAGAAGTACAGTATTGTGTGCTAGCCACTAGCCAACCTTACTGGCCAGTGGCCTGTGATATTTATTTATTTGTTGTTTGCATTTATTTATTATTTGCCATCCCGCAGGCGGGCTCAGGGTGGG